TAAATGATATAAGGTTAAATCATGAATTCTTTTCTATGTAATCCCCCTACCACATGATCAATTTATTTAGTACTCTGGCTCAAGGTTTTGGTTGATAGAATTCTCAAAGTTTTCATACAACCCATTGCACAGTTTCAAAAGATTTCCACATTTTTTTCATAAAGATTATTGTTTTACCATCTTCCAGGCAATTGAAGCAGCAATTGAACTAAATCTTAAAAAGGTAGAGGCAGGAGCTCAGGGAGAACATAAAATCCAGCGGGGTTACCTACCTGTGACTACTTACAGCTGCCATTACATTCTAGATGAAGGTTTTAGAGAAGCTATAAAGGACTTTCTTGTGCGTGAAACAGATCAGGTATTGTTCTTGTCTTTTTTCTTCCTGTTATTTGGCTTTACATTAAGAAGAATTATAGGTTTTCCTAGTTAATGGAATATGGTGTATCATATTAGTATTATAGATTCTATCATACATTAGTGTGTTCCATATTGTAAATAGTGTATTTATTTTATTTTAGCCCCTTTCTAGGGATATTTCATCAATTATAAATAAGTGTGATAATAGGATAATCAACAGATTAGACTAGCTAGTTGTAGACCCCACTTGCAATAATCTAAAATAAAGAAAAGAAAAACAGAAGAGAAGAAGATGGAAGAGAGAAAAGTAATGGAGGAAAAATATGGAAGAAAGGGAAGGAAGAAGAGAGAGAGTTCAAACCACTCTTCAGCCCCTAATAATCTCTTTTATTATTTAGTCGTAAAAGTGGGGACAATTACATGAGTACCCTTAGTAGGGCGGCCAGCACTAAAGATGATAATGAAAAAGAGAAAACAGGCCATAACTAAGGCCCACTACCTACTAACAAAAGTTACAAACATAACTTAAAGAAAATAAAGAAACTAAGGCCCATTCGGCCCATCATCTCTACACTCCCCATGAAGCTAAGCATGGATATCAATCATGCCTAGTTGCTTATAAAATGCTGTAACTTTGCCTTGGGGACACCCTTGTTTAGAACATCTACTAACTATTGGTCCAAGGCAATGAAAGGAAGGAGCCTGATTATGTTTTGAACATCTCTTATAAAATGCCAGTCAACTTCAATATGCTTTGTCCTATCATGCTAAACTGGGTTGTGAGTTACGTTTATTGCAGTCTGATTATCACAATAAGCATTAAGGGCTTATCATGTTTAATACCCATCTCCTCTAGAAGTAACCTGAGCCATAACAACTTTGAAACTCCATGTGCCATTGCCCTATACTCTGCCTCAGCTAAAGATCTAGCTACTATTAACTGTTTCTTACTCCTCTAGGAGACAATATTCCCTGCAACCAAGGCACAGTAACCCGATGTAGATCTCATATCATCAATACTACCAGTCCAATTGGCACCTATGTAAACCTCTAGCTTCATGTATCCATTGCTTAGATAAGGGGGCACCCTTTCCTGGAGTTCCCTTAAAGTAACACAGAACCCGTTCATACTTCTCATACTTTGCTCTGGTAGTTGCAAGTTATTCTCCCACTAACTTCTCATTACCAAAACCTTTTTCAATCCCAAAAGAGGTGGCTACATTGCTATTGCCACTCTTCCTAGTCCCACTCTTCTTACCATTGTTGTTATTCTTGAATATAGGAGGTATAAGCTCTAGATGTAGTTTCCAACAAGTATCCTTCACGTGCTTAGGTTTCTTGAAATACTCACATACTACATCTTTCTTCTCAATACCAGCCCTTGGCTTCATCCTAGCATTGGCAAAATGATCTGTTGAGACCTGTGTAACCTGCACATGTCTCTGACTTTCCTCACTGCTAACTATGGCATAGGATTGGGACTAGGTAACCATCTTTTGCATCTGACAATGTCATACTCGGGATTGAATCCGGTGAGGAACTCAAAAACCCAATTTATCTCCACTAACTTCCTAGGAGTCCCAGCATCTTTTGTACACCCCTAAAGAATAGTCTCCAAGTCAATCTCCTACCAAAGAGATTTCAGCATGGAGAAATAAACAGCCAAAGATTTCTCCCCCTATCTTAAATTATTGGCATCATTCTTTAGCTTGTAGGCCCTAGAAACATTCAACTTCTGGTAATAGGTCTCTGTAACATTGTCCCATACCTCTTGCAATCTCCATCCACAAGTAATGCTGACTAATATGAGGTTGCATGGAATTCACTAACAAACCTACTACAGTGTAGTTCTCCTACATCCACCTCTCATAGGTAGGGTCATCCTCCACGGGTTTCTCCTTGGTCCCAGTGATGTACCCCCATTTACCTGTATTGCATACATGAATCTTTATAGACTGAAACCAAGCTAAAAAATTGGTTCCATCCAACTTTATTGAGGTTATTGCCCCTAATAGAGTCTCCAAAGACCCTCTTGGACCAAACCTGAAATCGGTGGAGAGTTTCATCTCACCTCCAATTTGCTCCATTGGACAAACGAAGACAAACAAAAATCAAAATAGGGTGCTACTAGTCAAGAATTACTGTCCTAAGTCCAAAGCTTCTCTTCAAATAGCCAAAATGAGGGTTTTCACCAGAGCCAACAAAATGGGAAAAAGTCTGGCTGCTCCTGCCAAAGGCTTCAGAAACCTTTCCAACTTGGGTCGATCTCAAAGATAATCAGAATGCTTCTATTCAATCCCCAAGTGCCACTTCTAGACTCCCTCTATACCCCGTAATCAAAAGGCTCTCCAATTAGCTAGGGTTTTTAGGAAACTCTCTAAGAACCTGCCTTGGGCCCCAAATCAGCACTACAATCTTCTCCAAGAACCTCCTCTAACTAGGCTGAATACTTTCCTCTAACTAGGCTGCACTACAATCTTCTCCCCAAACCAGCACTCTAGTACCAAGTTGTAGATCCCATCTGCAATAATCTGAGATAAAGAAAAGAAAAAAAAAGGAGAAGAAGAAGACTGGAGAGAAAATTAATGGAGGAAGAAGAAGGAAGAAAGGGAAGGAAGAAGAGGGAGGGTTCAAACCCCTCTTCAGCCCCCAAATAATCTCTTTTATTCCTTAGTTGTAAAAGTGGGGACAATTACATGAGTACCCTTACTAGGGCAGTCAGCACTACCTACTCACATAACTAAGGCCCAATACCTACTAACATAAGTCATAAACATAACTTAAAGAAAATAAAGAAACTAGGGCCCATTCGGCCCATCATCTCTATTCCCATCAATTTTATTCTTTTCATCTATAACATTCTTTATACTGTTTGCTTTGGTTTGCTTCAAAATTAATATGGTGTCAAAGCAGCTTTCTTGCACAAGATTTTAAAGTAGTTGATACTTGAACATTGATGTTTAGAACATCAATGGATGGCTAGAAAATAAGTTTGGTATTGGTGAATTGTAGTAAGAAAATTTGAATTGACTTGTTTTGTTGATTGATTCCTAAATTGGCTTTTCATTTGATTTTAATCAATATGAGAAGTTGTATTTTAGAGACCAGAAATTTTTGGTGGATTTTTGGTTGAGTTTTACGGCCTTGGTTTTGATCATTCCAAAGAACCTTTTTTACAGAAAATTGTTGAGTTATCTATAAGCTATCTTGTTACAGTTCACTTAATGTGACCATGGTAGGCATACAACAAAGCCTTTCTAGGCATTCTCTTCTAATAACACAATATCCTTTCAATAGCAGCAAGATGAGAAGTGCAGGGATGATGCATATATTGACTGACTACACTAACAACATTGGAAATGTCTAGTCTAGTCAAACATAGATAAAGTTATTTTAGATAAAACAAGACCAATCGATCAAAACAGTCCCAAACATGATTGAATCAAAGACTCAGATCTGGATATGTCTGAGTTTTGTAGAAGAAAATCTCAAATAAATAAGAAGGGGACATGAAATCACCACCAAAAAAATGTCTAAAATCATATCAATCAAAATTTAGGGTTTCCAAGAACTGAAGGAACTGGAAGATGTGCCAACTATACCATCTACTGATGTCAGTATTCGGCATTGATGACATCAACCATGGCTACTGTAGTCAAGCCTTGTTCTGCAGGTTGCTTACCAACTTGAACAATCAAAGATTGCGAGAGAGAAGGAAGAAAATAAGAAAGAAGAAAAGAGGAGAAAAATTTTGAAGAGAAACCAATATACATTGGTCGCTCGTTAGAATTTATACTAATATACATGATTTACAATTATACCCTCAATTAGAGAAAAACATGTCAAAGACAAAAATACCCTTAGATAGATGCCTCGTGACACTCCTGAATTATATAAATGGAGTTAAATTGTTTGGCATTTTTTGTAACTTCTTATCATGGTTCACAATATCGACGATATTTGGCAAAATATCCCCGATATATCCCCATTTGCTCGGTGGCAATACGAAATCTTCCAGGAATCTTTTTCTCCAAATATCCTTGATATTTTGCCGATATGCTGACTATATTTCAGATTTCATTGATAGATTATATATTTAAAGTTTAAAACTTTAGAATATTATTAAATGCTTTTCAATATTTCATTACAATCATCATAGTTTTTTAAAAATATTTTCCTGGAAGAACCAACAGGGAATTAGTGATTTGATAATTGGCTTACTAATTTGATATGATTCACTTACCAAATCACTATAATTCAAAGGAAAAAGAGAAATGCATATAACTACAAAAGAGTATTTTCAATCTAATCAAAACATATAGTAACAATAAAGACAAAAGTTAAAATGGCAAGCGATTGACATATATAAAGAAGAGATGGATAAAGATCAAAAGGTTGACAAAGAGAAACATACCTATTACAATTGCTTAATTTTTTCCTATTTGAGTTTTTCAGTTCTTTGTTATGGTTTGAGCCTAAAATGTGCAATTATATTTTTTCTAATGATCTCATGAAGGTTTATTAAGTTAATGTTTCTAGAATTTTTTCTTTATTTTTTTAGCAAAATATCCAAAATTTCTCCAACTCAACATGGCGAATTTTTCGTTGGTATCGAATATCGGTATTACAAACCATGGTTTTTATCTTTTTACATTCTCGCTATTCATATTGGTGTGCCAGTTATCTCTTTGTATGAATGAATTTAACTGTTTGACTTTAATTGTAACTTTAGTTTGATATTCTAATTATTCCTTTCTGTAGTGGCTGCTGTTCTATATGTTAGACATCACTGAATTAATATCTTTTATATTAGATATTCTTTAGGCGAGAGTTTTTACTTCTTCACCTATTATCAGATTATTTTATTTCCCACTTTGGTCCTTTTTCTAAACAATCTATACTTTTATAGCTCCTCCTGTATATTTATATATAAAATTTATACAAAAAACCTATTGAATGATTAAAATCATCTTCAAGAAGTCCAAATGATTAATAGACTTA